CTCCAACTACTTCCTTTAAGAACAAATTCTTCTTTTAAAAATGTAGCATATTTTGATATAAACACTTTTTTCTCGAAAGAAATAATATCTAATAGTTTCCTTTGGATATCACAATAAACTTGCATTTATATGATTTAGTTCCAAATTGAGTAGATACTATATGCTTCACATAAGCGTCACATCTCCAAACTCTAAAATAAATTTCTTAAATTTTTATAAGATTTCTTTGTGTTTTAAAAGAAATTAAAGAAAAATATTTGAATTTGAGTAGAGAGTTTATTCTAGTCAAAATACAAAGAGATGGTGCATAGAATTGCTTGCACTTATCCTTATTATTGTTCGGTGGAAAAATATAATTTGAACTCAAAATCTTGGGCATAACAAAGCATGTACAATGTGATACAACTCCTTCTGTTTTTCTTTTTATTCCATCTTCTTCAAATTCTTTCAATACAATGTTTTGAGACTGTTTCTTCCCCATACGCCTCGTGTTACATGGGATTCCACCACTATAAAATTTCTTTTCTCAAATATAAAAGAAAAGGAATTATTATTATAATTTTATTTATTTTTTCATTTACTATATTAAAATGGAAACTGTAAAATATAAGTTTTCTTGTTTTATCAATCTAATTTTCATGATATATCAAATTTTTAGTTCAGCAAAAAAAAAAAAAAAAGTCCAAATCTAATTTTCAATTGATATAATCAAATTTTTAGTTCAGCAAAAAAAAAAAAAAAAAAAAAAGAAGGTATAAAAAAGGCTTTTCCTTAAAATAGTAGATATCAAAACGATGGGTGAGAAATCAATCTAAAACCGAACAGCCCATAATATCAGCCTTACATCCAAGCAAAACATCATTTGCACTAACATATATCTTTGTCTTATAATAAAAAATGGAGAATTGAAGATTTCAAATCGTGAATATTCATTTCTACTGTAAGAATTTCTAACTTATATAAGGGAAAATTATATTCATTTCCCTATTTTTTATAAAAAAAAAAATACTTTTAATCTTGTCTTTTTTAAAAATAGATTGTTATACCTCATATTTTTAGTTTATTACACTATATTCCTCTTTCATCAATTTTTTGCAATTTTAAATAACAAATAAATAGAGAATATGATGTTCTAAGGAGAGAGAGATGCAGGTAAGAGGCTCTGTCTAATCTCTTTCCATTTCATACTTTGATTTCAAACTTAAAGCTGCAAATTTGGATAAAAAAGAACATAAATTCACAAGCTAAAGCAATAACAAGAAGCATCAAAGTAGCAAAAACATTTGAAATCTTTATAACTCAACATATAAAATCTCTTGGATGAATAGAGTTTTTTAACAAACCAAAGTATGCAATTTTTTTTTTTTTTTTTTTTTTTTTTTTTTTTTTTTTTTTTTTTTTTTTGAGATTTCTCTCACAACCATAAAAAATAAGACACCCATTTCAGTTTTAGAAATGTAGAGCAAAGAAATGCAATTATTAGAACCACCAGTTTCTCCAACGCAATAAGAAGCAGACTCATAAAAGCAAACCAAGAAGATTGAAGAGAGAGAAAGGGAGAGAATGTGTTATTTTTTGCTAGAACTCATTTGTTTTTATTTTCTTTTATTACAATTAATATGAGTGAAATTGCTCACTACTTTGCACATAGAGAGAGAGAGAGAGGGAGAGAGGTTAGAGAGGAAATCATTTTCATGCTACCATTTCTTAGTGTTTCAAGCTTGAAGTTTGATGCTACCATTTCTTCTTATTTCTTCAAAGGTTTATAAAGATTAAGGTATCTTGATTTTTTTTTTTTTTTTTTTTTTTTTTTTTTGTTTTTTTTTTTTTTTTTTTTTTGTTTTAATCATGATTATTGATGTTATTTCATGACCATTTAACATTTAAACTTGCAAAAAAATAAACGGAAGAGAAATATAGTGTAATAGACTGAAAATATAAAGTTATAACACTCTATTTTAAAAAGATACAAGGGTAATTAATCATCCCTTTATACAAAGATGCTCAATAATTAACATACGAACTAATGATGGTATTCATTGGTATCTTTTGCTATTTGCTAGTCATCTAACAGCCACAATTAAATTCATTTATAGCGTGTTTTAGATTTAGCAAAATCGGACTAAACCGGATATTGAATCAACAGCATGAATAGCTCGTGGTTGAAACCGATCGACTCGATTCAACTGAATTTTTTACTTTTAAGTAGAAGTGTTGACTTTTTTTTTTTTTAATTATTAGCAGAAATCAAGGAGAATTTGACAAAAATCAAGATTATATGCTAGTTTGATATCAAAATTCATGACACAGTATCTAGAAACCAAAAAATAAACAATGATGCACAATTTTATAACAAAATAATAACTACAAGTACATATGAGTATTCAAAACTCATAAGATATATATACAAACTTATGAATATAATTTTTATTTAATGAAATAAAATTCTTTAAACGATAAAAAAATTTTAAAAAATGATACGCAACTAAAAGTGATAAATTTGGCCATTTGCAAGAAGAGTAAGTAAAGCCCTATATATATATATACAGAATTAAATGAGAATGAAAGGAGGAGAAGATTTCGATCTTGGTGGTTATTTTAGATTTTTGTTAGGGTTTGATTTAAAGTAATTATATATTTGTTTATTGTGGAAATGTTTTTTATTTTTGAAGAATTTGGATATTGATTAAATTAATTTTTTCATTAGAAAATAAAAAATTGGATTTTTACGGGTTAGTCCTATTTTTCTGTTTTTTTTTTTTTTTTTTTTTTTTCCTATTTTCTGTTTTTTTTTTTTTTTTTTTTTTTTTTTTTTTTTTTTTTTTTTTTTTCAATTCCAACCATTTTTATTCTGTTTTTAAGTCATGCGATTTTATATATTAAACCAGATTAGATCAATAACCGGTTTGCAGTTAAATAGGTCCGACCGCGGATCCAATCCAATTTAAAAAATATTGACTAATTATTTTTGCGAAGAAAGAAAAACAAATCATATCAATCAATTGTTGATTTTTGAATTTCCACTCTTTTCACTAGGTGTTGGGGGAATGGACACTATCCAGCGGCAACAGCTTATGCCAATAGATATGAATTTTACCGTCAAACCCCCTCCCGTGAAATTTAAATTTAAGTTATTTAAGTTAGACGGACACTTCAAAAGGTTTAACGTAACTGCTATTGTATTAATGTAGAACACCAGTACACGTATGGAATATTTTCAAAAAAAATGTCTTATTATTTTATTTTATTAATTTCGAACATTTTAAAACACATCTGTAATATTTGAAGACATTTATTGCAAACTTTGGAGACACATTTGAAAAATCTATTAGACTTTTAGATAAATCTATTAATAAAATTTTTCAAATTGTTGTCTTAAATATATATTTATTACTTATTAATGCCTAAATATAAAATTAAAACATATATAAAAAGAATGAAAACTTCTATCTTATAATTTATACTCACTCCGTCCCATTTTATTTGCTTGTTATTCCTTTTTCGAAAGTTCTAGAATATTTGCAAGGTTTGTAAATTTATATACGTAAACAATTACTTTTCTCATAATAACCTTTATAATTTTTCATTAAATGAAATGCTTTTATTAATATCTTAATGAGTTATTACGGATAAAGAAGGGTAAAATAATTTTTATTGACTAAATTCTTACGTGATTGTCAAACCATGCAAAAAAATAGAACGAATAAGGTATTTTGTAATTTATTTACGTATTTGTTATTATGAAATTTAAAAACTAATGCACAATGTTGATTTTACAAAATTCTAACTAATTTACAATTATTGTGAAATCAGTAATTTAAAAAGGTTTTTTTATACGAAAAAAGAGTCAAAATATTATAGTCGCAGACTAAAATATGGAACATCTTCGGAGATTAATTTGATCTCTTTCAAATATGTTTGAAATTCTTGAAATTGTCAATTTATTTCTATAGATACTATGATTTTCAATGATTATGTTCATGCCCAGATTTTAAATAATTTTTTATTTTTTATTTATAATTTATTATAAATAATCATTTACTTATTTGAATAATTAATAAATTATGCAATAAATTATATTTACTTAATATAGCATGTCCTAAGTGTGTTAGTATCCTGCTTCTTCTAAGTATGTTAATGTCCTGCTTCTTAAAAAATTATTGATTTTGTGTTCATGCAACCTAAGTAAAGAGGCAAAAAAAAGAAAACTAAACAGAGTCTTGTGGTTGGAAATGATAGGATAAAGTCAAGTCAAACAAAGTATCAAACTACTTATTGATTATTTTTTTTCCTAAAATACTCAAATTTGGATATTATTTTTTGAATTTTCCAATACCAAATGCCCTTTTGAGTGTGAGAGTGAGACTAATCCATTTGAGTGGAAACTAATCTTGTTTAAGAGTCATATGTCACGGACCTGGAGTCTCGCGCAGCACTGCGCCCGTGCGGCGCCTTGGGAGCCTGCTCACCTAGCGATACTTTGACTCCGAGGCAAGCCTTGCCATACCGTACCACACTGGTTTCGCCATGCCACGGGCTCATCAGGGGAGCGGCCCAGCTCCCGACCAATTGTGCCCTGCGGCACAATACCCCGCCTGCACGCAGACTTTGCATGGGGTAAGGACCACTAGGGTAGAACTCTCCTTAATCGCTAAGCTGCCCCAACCCACGCAGATTGAAACGCAGCCTAGTACGCTCTTCAATAAGGGCCTAACACGATCACGGAATTTGTCCGTGACACATAGCTGCCCTTCCCCAGAAGCCATTTTTCTACAGCCCAAACCTATGACCTTGCAAAAATCATCTGCTAAGAATTCATAGCGTTGCTATTTACTCGATTCTTGCGAGATATTTAAATTTTCTATCGTTTTAAATACATTTTATATTACACACTAATTTAGCAATTTGTGCTCAAATATAAATTTATCAAAATTTAACATTAATAAATAAATTTAATAAATTATTTTCAGAAATCAATTAGAATTGAATCAAATTCAAACTTGACTATAAAATTATAACTCAAATCAAATTTAATCTTTAAACTCAAATTTCTAATAGAATTTGAGCTCAACACTGTAATCTACTTGTCTTGACTCCACCAAACCCTCACTTAAAACACAAGACCTTATCCTCTATAACTTAGAAGGAAATAAATTTACAAATTTGCCAAAAAGATAGCAACAAATACAAAACTGGAACCAGCTACATTTTCTGTAGGAACTCCAATTTGCCAAAAAGATAATCACAAAATTGAAGTCAGCTGCATTTCTGTAGAAACTTCTGTTTGGATACATCAAAACGTATATAAAAACCTTGAAGACACCAAAAAGAACAGAGAGAACCTTAAAGTGAACAAACTCAAAACTGGTCAAGTGCATCAACCAAACAGGCGATACATCACTCTATCCATCAATCTGAAGACTCGTCACAACCATTCAACTCTCACGCACCTTCAAAGGGAAGCGTACTCTGAATGTTCTAAGGCATCAAGATGTTTGAAACCATCTGCTTGTCACAATCATTCAACTCTTACGCACCACCTTCAGAGGGAAGCGTACTCTGAATGTTCGAAGGCATCAAGATGTTGAAACCATCTGCTGCTGTAGACACGAGCATACCAGGAATCTGACTGTGCCAATGAAGTTCTTTCAAATCTTTCTGTCCCTGTTTAAAGTGTACAAGAGTTAAAAAGACAGGTGAAGCATTTTTACAAGTCGTCAAATATTCTTACTGGGGACGAGTTAAATAAAAATTAAAAAAGTACCTGATGAACAAACAGAAGTTGAGGGGGTAAGTCTGTTGGGGCATTCACTTGCTCTTTTGTTTTAGCTCTAAACTCAGCTTCTTCTTCCTCATCCTTTTCTAAAGAAAGATCCCATATTCTGGCAATATAGAAGATATAATCATATAACAGAGTTATAATCACAATTGCAACTCAACGGGAATGGAAACTAAGAAATATGTTGTTGCTCTTTAGCATTACTCACGTTAACTGATTGTCAGATGAGGAAACTGCCAGTGAAGACGCCTCATGTGGACTCCATTCAATGGATGTTATAGGATATTTATGGTACTCAAAATGTGCCACCACAGATTTATCTTCCTCCTGTCCATATAAAACACAATTAGCTATGAGAACATAATTTTGCATTAAGCACATGCTACATATGCTTTGCAGAAGATGCTATTTTCAATAAGTTGATCATGGAACATGGATGGAGAGACAGGTGGACAAAGATGGTCCAATAATGTAATGTCTATATAAAATATGGACAAAAGAAAAGCAGCAGGATCAACTTCCTGCAAAGCTGGTCTGAACAATTTTTACCCACATCAGTATCCACAGAGTTCCCTACATGACCCATCCAAATAACCAGTAGACTCTTTGTCAAACATGTCACTATTTTAGTGTTAAGTGTTCAAAATGTCACACAAAGAACAGCAATGATATCAGCTTCCTGCAAAGCTAGCCTGAACAGAAGACACCAAGCCAAGGTAGTCTGACCACATCCCAAATCAGTGCAGACAAAATTATTTAAAGAGCAATGCTAACTAATTTCCCTCTTTGTGAGACAAATCAGTATGAAACTCTGTTCAAAATATTGTACAAAACAACCAGCTTCCCATAAATCCAGGGATGCAATCCCCAAGGAGAATCCCTTTGTATACATCCCATTTGTAACCAATTTTAGGAATAAAAATTAGTGATTATATATTTCCATTACAATTTTATACCTTTTGTTCTCTATTTAGAAGCTTATGGTTAGAGCATTATTGGATTTTTATTTATTAATTTACAATTTGTCCTAGCATCACAGACTTAGGATCACAACCAATCTGCCTGAATTCAATGGAAAGCACAATACCAAGATGCCAAGGACATCCATGGTTAGTTGAATCAAATGATGAACATCTTCGATTATCAAATGAGGCTGGTGCAAAAACAAAAGTTCAGATAAGTTCTAAAATTACTGCCACACTTTAAACAACCAGTAAAACAAATGAACAACAAACTAGTGTTCATTAAGTGCATGAATCTGCCCTTTAATCTCATTTGTCTATGAAAAGCCCAATCTTTCTATACCATAGAAACTCTGAAAAATTCACATGTTCCAAACAAAGTCTTAATTTTTCAAATCTAAAATAACACCACCAAAAGGTTAAGAAAAGACAAATAGCTCTAATATAAACTACAGTATCATAAACAAAAATGCATTGTTAGATGTAGAATTTTTCATTCAAAGACCATATTTCAATTTATGCAACGAAAATGAAAATAACTGTGGTCAGCAGGCCAGTGATGATTATATTGTTAGTCCTACTGAATATCTAAAGTCAATAAAGATACTAAACAAATAAACGCAAGCCATAAACCTAACTGCTAATTTACCCAGCCATTGCACCAATCCTTAAGCCATCTAGCAGAGATGTTTTGGTTCACAAGTCTAACTCTTCCTTTTGGCATTTAGGAATCGGATAGGCACGTGATATTATATTGTAGTAGGGCATTTTGGATAAAGAGTACTAGAGCTTAAAATTCATAGTCCATAATCCAAAGTGCCTGATAATACAACAAAATATGCTTCATAACCATGTAATGACCAAGAGTACAATACTTCCTGCAGCCTGTAACATTGGTTTTTATTGAATAAGAATCAGCCTACCTGAACATCAGTACTAAACACCAGCTCCGGCCTCCGTAGGGTGGATAGGATTAGGATAGATAAGCACATCAATGTTGATAAGAGTTCTTTACAATATCAATCTTAACATATTTCCCCCTTTTGAAACACAAAAAAAGAGACACACAAACCTTAAGGTTTCTCTAAAAGTAAAAAAGTTCACCTAGGAATAAGGCCAACACAAACAAAAACAGGTAACTCAGTAATAAGCATCAGGAAAGAAAATTGAGAAATTTCAGATACCACATATAAGGCGTATGAAACATTAGAAAAAATAATTAAAATGAGGACCAAAACCTTGTTGATCTAGAATTATGTCATACAAGATCATTTTCCTTCTATTTAATAGAAACAAAATGTTAAAATACCTTACATTAGAAATAAACATACCTGATTTTGTGATAGCAATCTAAGATCACGAATAGAAAATGTCCCATCATCACTTCCAGATGCCAACATAACGCTAGCCAACCTATCACAACCAATGCATTAGCAAATGAAAGCATTAGCTATAGAAAAGAAGAGGCGTGTTTCAATAAAAAATATATCAGTAGAAAGATCTAAATACCGGTTCCATGAAATAACATTCACATCAGCATTATGCGCCTTGAATGAAATTGCAGGTGACTTTCCCAGGCGGATATCCCATATTGCAATACTTCGATCAACAGAACAAGAGGCAAATACCTCATCTTCAGTGGGGCTCCACTGCATAGATAAAACATGACAGGAATGCTTATAAAATTGAACAATATTCAAGAAATGTTTGTGTTGGATTCACAAGTAAATCATGTACTTGTAGGTCTTCTACACTTGCAGCATGTCCAACAAAAGGGGTAGCACCAACATTCCATGTTGCATCGGACGTAGGCTCCCATAAGTGAATACAATTCTTGCAGTCACCTTCAGACAAGTAGTAAATCCTCCAAGCATTAGGGTATTATACACATTAAGTTTTGTATCATGGATGCTTGAGAAGTGATAGTGGTGCTGGTAGTGGTTTTCTCCTTTTTTATCATGTGGTATGAAGGGGAATGCAACATATGAAAAATAATATTCAGCAATACCAGATACCAGCCTTCCTGTGACACGAGGACTCCAATCTATAGCATAACCTTCATCTTTGTGCCCTCCAAACTTAACTAAAGGAGGCTGATTAAAAACTGAAGAATCTCTCTGGGTAACTTCTGCTTCTGACTCTGCCAAAGCATTCAGATGAGAACTAAAGTCCCATATCTGCATGCAAAGTCGATAAGCATAAGAGACAAACCTTATGTCCAGAGCTACTACTACCACATATTTCAAAACTCCAGGGGTACCACTACGTTTGAAGTTTCACGTTGAAAGAGAACCATGTCTATAAGAAATAAATGTGGATATCCAAGAACTTCTTTAGAGTGAAAGAACATAAGTCTAACCTGCACATGACCAGTATCTGACCAAGATGCACATATATAGGGATTTTGCATCATTGCACGTATACGATTGACACATCCTTCATGAGATACCTTGCGTAACTGTGGATGCAAACTTGGATATGAAAATGCATGCAAAAACATGGTTACTGGAATGGACCAATCCTGAAATTAAAGAAAGAAGAAATTGCCTGCAAAACTGGTGTCAAAGATCCACCATGCTCCTCATCCTCACTCTCTTCATCACTATCACTACTATCAGCATCCATGTCAGAGTCACCATCAGTAGCTTTATTAGGCACCAAATTACGTCTTTTACCAGAAATATTAGATACTTTAAATATTCCAATAGTGTTCCAAGAAGCTTTTTCTGCCTGCAGATGATTGTTATATAAATAAACGTGATAAGAGTTGGAAAGATGGAAAAAAAAAAAAAGAAGAAGAGGCAAGATAGGAGATAAAAGGCATAAAAACATTATAAATTGTTTCTCCAATAGCTCCATGGACTTGCAGTCTGATATTGTCTCCTATACAAACAAAAAGTTAACCAACAATTTGTGTAGAGTAAATCTGATTTTTTCTTGCCATTTTTTCTATTGATAGCTAATAGCACCTTAATCTAAACAAACATTCTCAACTAATTTGAAACAATCATTAGAATCTTCAAGTTGACATAAGCAATGCAAAGAGAACTTAAAAAGAATATATGTAGCGTCCTCAACTAAAAGAAAATGTATTCCCTCAGTGGGTACCCATAAGTGTGAAATGAATCACCTGAGTCCCTGCAACAAAATACACTGTGTGGGGAAATTCTGTCCGAAGCAAACCCAATGAGTCACGTACTATATCAAAACTGTCAAAAGTAAATAAACTTCAAAAAATGAATAGAAGAACATATGTTCTCTAATGCCAAAACCATTGTTTTGGTCATTACAATTATAATTAACAAAACCAAAATGACTAAAAAACTGTTTCTAGAAATCATTATCCATTTTAATCGTGCTTAGCACAAAAGTAGGAAGACATTAAGCAAATTGAGTTGTTCTTCAAAACTGACTATTTTGTAAAAGTAAATTGATAGTTATAACCCTGTCATGCCATTTCCCAAGGGCACAATTAAGTGTTAAAATGCTGAGCCACTGGCTTTTTAGTTCAAATTCTAAATTCTGTAATTTAACATGCTCAACTGCAGGACAAATTTCGTTAGTTTGAATCATTGCATAGAAATATGTCTTTAGTTTTGGTTGATCTTAAGTTCATCTAATTTATTATTAATTAATATTTTTTCTTTTGGTCAATCCTTGAATTGAATAAAAGTACTGAATAAGAAACGTGAGTTGAGTGATGTTTTACCTGGGTGAAGTTTTACCTAAGTTCAAAAAATGAGAAAGAACAAATTGAAAACATTGAATTTTAACCCCTTTTACCTTTTTCCCCTCCTTTTATCACATTCTCAGAACTAAAACGATATTACAGCAATTCCACTAAATATTCATTTTGATCTTCTGAATACACAACCTAAACCTTTATTCAATTAAAGACAAGCTCATAAAATATCCAACTTTCTAATTCGTGAAGTGGAAGTTTTATCAGCCGCCATAATCAAACGAATATTCAAGCTTCCAACTTTGTCGTTGAAACTTGAAATTACTTGTGTTTTCTTTACCTGTAAAATTCAGAAAACAATAAAACAAAAGGACAATAGAAGAATTACCTCAAACAGGGCCAGCCAATGTGAAAAGCGTGGAGAGAATTATAGGCAGAGAGATCACATTCGAGCTCCTCGCCTTCCTCAAGCTTGTCCACTCCTGGTTGCCACACCTTTGTGGGCATGGATGGTATTGATGAGGAAGAAGACGACCCACCTCCTTTTTTTGAGTCCTGTATAATTTATTGTACGAATATAAAAGAGATATTGCGTTAAAATATACAGAAAAATGAAAGAAAAAATAATTAATTAAAGGAATAAATCCAGAGATCCATTGACCTTCTTATTTCTCTTCGCCTTTTTAGGGTTTTTGACGCTTCGAACCATTTTTGCAGTCACTGAGGTTTTAGAAGACAGGAGCCAGCTATAAGTCGAAGATGATCTCGGGAGCTAGGGTTTTAGGATATGTTTCACTAGTGATGCAGATGCGCACTTGGAAAATTACTATCTACTATAATTTTTTTTTTTTTTTTGAAAGGCTATAATTATTTATAATTTGTTTATTCTCGTTGTTATAATCTTCTATATCCACAATATATAATATATTACTCATTATTTTTCTTTCATTTTTTATCACCCGGCGTCTGAAATCTACTGACCCACCAACCCAAATTTGCGCCGAATAATCGACAAAGGAAGAAGGAAGAAGGAAGAAGGGATCATGTCATCTCATCTTATCCCTCGAAAATCTTTTATTTTATTTTTTAATTTTATATAGTCAAATATTTTATACAATTCAAAAGAAAAATTATTTAATATTTACATAGATGCAAGGGGTAAAAAAAATCTGAACTATATTAATTAATTGCATGCTGTGGAAGGGGGATTGGAAGACAAACAGTCTTCGAAATTCAACTCAATATATGATCATTGGCAATCTCTTTAGTAATGCCTAAAGTCAATATTGGATCAAATGTTCTGTAAGAAATTATAGTATCTTCTATATACTTTTTTTTTTCATCAAATAACAATCAAGTCTTCTTGTTTAGAGCACTTTTAGTGGAAAAAAAAAAAAAGATTCAAAAGCATAAAGGATTTAGCATTAAAATGTTTTTTCATCAAATAAGAATCAAGTCTTATTACCTAGAGCACTTCTTTTTTTTTTTTTTTTAGGATGAAAAGTGTTTATATTAAGAAGAAGAGTCCAACATTACAAATGGGACGGTAGAAGAAGGTTCATCTTCTATCCAAAAGGAATAATATGAAGAAAATAACTTTAGCTTGGACAAGTCATGAGTAACTTGATTGCGAAGCCTACAGATATGGAGGCAACTAAAACTAGAAAAACTAGAAATAAAGCATTCAAAGATAGAAAGAACAAAAATCGAATATTTTATGATTAAGGATGTTTTATGAATTCACTAACTGGATCGTAGAAAGAACATCATACTCCAAGGTTATAGAATGGAAGCCAAGGTTTAAAGTTGATTGAGCACCAAAACCGCAGCTTAAATCTTAGCATGTTCAACTGACAATTCACCCTGAGCCTTCGACAACATGCCATCAAAAATCTTACCTCTGTGTAATGACAAATCGCAGACCACATCCTTGCATATGAAAAACTGAAGCATCAATATTTACTTTGACCATATGTGGAGAAGGTTGTGTCCATATTACTTGGACAGCTTCAAGCGCAATATCCTAGTACTATAAAAAATTAGCATCATGAAAGTCATACAACCAAATCAAACCTATAGAAACAATTTGCAGTTCAAATAGCTCCTCATTCTGAAAAGGTTGTGACTTACAAGCCTTCTACATTGACCACATTATCATAAGAAAAACTTTAATCTTTTCTGCTACAAAAGTCTTGATCAAGTTATGAAACTAGTCCAGGAAAGAGGGTCCAGTTGCTAAATTCGAGTCAATTTGGAGCGAGCTCAATAACCAAATTGTTTTAGCCTTTAAGCAATCTCTTAATATATGGGCAATAGATTTAACTTCCTCTCCACAAATGACGCAAAGTGAGTCTCAGGACATACCTCTTTTTACCAATGCATCCCTTACTAGCAATTGATTTTTTCAAGCTCTAAAAGCAAAGTGTTTAACTTTAGCTGGGACTTATTTCCAAAGTTTCTTCCATAGACCTTGAAATTTATCAACTGATGTCGGGCCTTAGGTATTAGGCTGGTGGTCAAGAAAGCTTAGATGGTATCCGCTCTTTACAGAATAGTTTCCATCTTTGGTGAAGCTCCAAATCAATGAGTCTTGTTGCCTTCTGATATTAAGATGAATAGAAAATATCTGCATTGCTTTATAAGATGAGAGATAGCATTAACTAAATTATAATTTCTAGTAAAAAAATCTAAATTAATTAAGATATTAACAGTTGCATTCTCATCTAACAACACAACAGGGGAGGATATCATGTTGTCAAAATCAACCGGCAACCACTTATCCATCCAAATGTGAATATTATTAAGACTGCCCAGTCGCCATTTACAACTTTATCCACTGCTCCTTTAGCTTCATATATACTTCATGATATATAATTAGGTTGGTAACCCCATTGTTCTTCTAAATAAGAGGACGTAGGAAAATACTTTGCTTTCAATACCTTAGCTATCATCGAATTCAGAAATTTAATCAATCTCTGACCTTTTTGGCTAATAGAACAATATTGAGTGCATGAATATCTGATAAGAGTATTACCTAAAATGTGCTAGTCAAAGTTCTGTTGTAACCGTCCCCTTCTTCAGGGATACTTTTTGCTGTTCAAACTTGTTGTTCCTGATGTTTAGGAACTTAGTTGCTGATATTCAAATTTGTAATCTGTATATATTCAAATTATAACATGCAGAAATGACTACACCAATTCCTTTGAATATGTTGTTCTTCATGGTATCAGAGCCGCCAAGGTTTAAACACCATTATTTTTTTTTCTTCGATCTTTTTCTTCTCTATATCTCACTTAATGACTCCTTATTATGGCCTCTGCATCTACTCAAACTACCATTGTTCCTTCCACAATTCCATCAATTCAAAACCATGTTACAGTAAAACTCACCTCCACCAATTATCTCCTTTGGAAAACACAATTAATTCCCCTTCTCCATGGCCAACAATTGTATCATCACCTTGATGGCTCAGTTACTCCTCCCCCCAAACAACTCAATAATGTTCCAAATCCAGCTTATCTTGACTGGTTTGTTAAAGACCAAACTGTGCTGTGTTGGATTCTTAGCTCACTTTCTGAATCCATCTTGTCTCAATTCGTTGGTGTTACTACAGCTTACGATGCTTGGACTCGTCTAAAAACAACATTTGCTTCTACTTCAAAGGCACAAATCAGAACCACTAAGACTACTCTTTACTCTCTATCTCGAGATAATGATTCTATTGCAACCTATATGAATCGTGCTAAGCACTTGTTTGATCAGTTAATTGCCCTTAATGCTCTAATCTCTGAGGATAATCTCATTGATCACATCTTACGCAGACTTAGGTTAGATTACAGACCGTTCACCTGGAATATAGAAGCTAGACTTGCGCCGGTATCCTTTGATGATCTCTTTGGCCTTTTGCTTTCGGAAGAGATGCAACTTCAAAACTCCAATGCATTTCTTAACACACCCGCCGTTGCACATTTTACCAATTGTCAACCAAATCGTGGAGGTTCAAGAGGAAGAGGATGTGGTGGTAGGCGAGGAGGCTTCCAAACAAACTACGGTCGTGGACGACACCAAAATGCAGAAGGTTATAATCCTACTTGTTACAATTGTGGTGGAAATGGTCACACTTCTAATGTATGTCCTAGCCCCAAATATAACAAACAGAATTCCAAACCTATCAGCAACTACTCTTCCTCACCCACTACACCAAATAAACCATGGATTGTGGACAGCGGAGCGACTCATCACTTGAAGTCTGAATTGGAAAACTTGGGATTTCAATCAGAATATTCGAGAACTAATGAAGTTGCTCTTACAAATGGTAAAAAATTACCGATTTCTCATGTTGGTTCTAATCATATCACTCTTAATTCTCATGATTTTTCTTTAGACAATATATTGCATGTTCTAGATTCTAACACCAATTTATTGTCTGTTCGTCAATTTTCTATTTCTAATGATGTCTCACTTGAATTATTTCCCAATTTTTTTTGTCATTAAGGACCTTCAAACGAAGCAAATACTCCATCGTGGATAGGTTAAGGATGGTCTTTATGCTCTCGCCTCAATACAACTCCACCAACTTGCAATTCTGTCACCTTATCGACATGGCATGCTCGTTTAGGCTATGATTTTCTAAGACTGTTGATAAAGTTCTTTTATTAAATAATTTATCTGCTGCCAATAATGTGAATAAGTCTCTGTGTGAAGCTTGTTGTGTTGGCAAATCACACAAATTGCCAATTTTTAATTCTTCTTTTGTTGCGAAAGGACCATTAGAATTAATATGTTCTGATTTATGGGGCCCTACACCCATTCCTTCCTCTGATGGTTGTCTATATTATGTTCTCTTTTTTTATCATTTCACCAAGTACACCTGGATCTATTTCATTCGAAAAAAATCTGATGTGTTTTCCTATTTCGTTCAATTCCGGACTATCGTTGAAAAATTTTTGGTAAACCAATTAAACAATTTCGATTGGACTGGGGTGGGGAATACCAAGCACTTCAAAAATATTTGGGTGAAAATGGAATAGTACAACATAGTTCTTGTCCACACATCCCTGAACAAAATGGTTGTGTGGAAACAAAACACTGTCACATAACCGAAACTGGTAGGGCGTATTTACTTCATGCATTTGTGCCACCAAAATTTTGGGACCATGCCTTTGCTGCTGCAGTTTATACAATTAATCGACTCCCCATACCAACTCTTAAACATAAATCCCCTTATCAAATTATTTTTCAACGTAATCCAGATTATCATTTTTTTTCGTGTTTTTGGTTGCTCTTGTTATCCTTGGTTGCGTCCTTATTCAAAAACTAAATTAGAACCACATTCCACTAAATGTGTATTTCTTGGGTACAGTCTTTTGCATAAAGGATACAAATGTCTTTCTTTGTCTACTAATAAGATCTTTTTCTCACGACATGTTTTGTTTGGTGAACAGGTTTTCCCGTTCAAGGAAAGTGATGGCCGCTCATCTGTCCTCGGTTCACCACCTCCGCTACCATCTATTTTATCTCTTGTCAAACCCATTCCAACTGCTCCTACAAATACAATTCCTACCATTACTCCTTCAACCAGTAGCTTACCCACCATTCCCACCTTACCATAAAATTCAGTTACAACACAATATTCTCTAGCCGAGACCACTACTGCCACTATGTCTCCTCCAATTTCAGAACCAACATCTCTTCCACCTTCACGACCACCTGCTTCCACCACTCATCATCATCCCATGGTTACCCGTTCCAAAACCGGTAATCTAAAGCCAAAAATGTTTCAAGCTCCTGTTCCTTATGCTACACCATTTTCTTATCATGAGGCAACCAAGC